TATATATATATATATATATATATATATATATATATATATATATATATATATATATATATAGTTATATTATATATAGTTAATGATGATATTGTTAATGTCGTATTATATATAGTTAATGATTTTTTATGCTTATCTGGAAGCTACTCTCAAAAATTTCGCGTTCGTGATAAAGAAAACGAAGTTTCTGTGACTGATTGATTCATGTTAGCTTCTTAAAGACAAATGTACATAATTATGTATATTCACATACTTTGCGTTTTACCTAAATTTTTAAATTAACAAAGGAATAATTACGTCGATAATAGTTTTCCTAGATAGATATACTATATATATTTCGTGATAAAGTGATTTTCTTCTTGAAAAAACCAATATAATGATCGTGTGCAGGACAGAATCGTTGACATTAAAAAGTACGTAACTTTCTACGAAAAAAAGCAAGTATATTTTATTTTTTCAATTCTTTATTACTATCTTCTTAAAATACAAAGTAGGTTCTTTTATATTTATTACGCGTGCAATTATAAGATTTATTAAAATCAGCTACTGTAGCTGGGGAACACATGCAAACATGAATGTATATAATTATATACGTTTAAAAAATTATACTTTTAAATAGTTAATGTTATTCAGATATAAAACTCGTTTTATATCTGAATCTAAGACTATTCTATAAAAAAAAAAATTTGTTATTGCGAATCGTGTTGATGCATAAATTTAAAATGTTTGATTATAGTATTCAAACAGAATACAAAATTTCGCTTGAATTATTATTTTTGCTTTATAGGTTCTCCTACTCCCGAAGTAGTTTTGTGCGCAGTGATTAGGGATGGAAAGGTATATATATTTCTATTTAATGTACAATAACTGATAATAAGAATAGTCTCCATATATAATGCAATTAAGGGGATGCTGAAGCTGAAAACTTTACCGACAGAATACTGACATTTTTCTGCAAAGTTTACGTCGTGTTGGTTACACAGAATTACAAATGATTTTACGCAATGAATGTGTGTAAAAATAAATAGGAACATTGCTCGATATGTGACGAAAACGAACAAACAATTTTTAATGTAAAATCTCAAGCTGTCAGTTAGCGTAATATTTGTCTAATCCAAAAGTTTCGCAGCTTATATATATTGAAAGTGTGGATGCTCCAAACAGAAAAATTTTGAAGAACATTGCTCTACTTTCGCATATGCATTTGGAAGCTTAAAAATATCGAAAAAGTTTGCATAAAATATAGGAAATAATCAGGTTCATTTCCATGATTAACACGACATAATAACAATTATGATGTAATGTATTCTAGCTCATTAACGAGAAGGGTGAATACATAAGAGAAGCAATCCTAGAAGCAATTGGGGAAGCAATATCCAACGTTAGCAAAATACCAGAGGCACAAGAGATATATAAAAGATGTCACGATGAAGGTAATCGATTTTATTGTCGTCTTAGAGAATTTTCGTGATAATAAAATTTTATATCAATTGCAGCGGATCGAGCCAAACTCACCGGTAATGAGCAGGCAATGAAAATTGCCACGTGCTCTATGCGAGTTATAACTTACTTCGATAAAATATAGAAAAGACGGATTGCAGAATTTGTAATCAATATACGAAACTCTTTCTTTATCTCTTTTTTTCTATATAAGGATTTCTATATAAGGATTTTCTATATAACTTTATCAATATGTTTAATCTTTCTCTCTAGAATTGTATGTTCGTGTTGGCAATTTAATAAAATAGAATTTATCTAAACAAACGTTGATGGAGACTTACTGAATTCCTATCAAAACTGAAATGTATGTATAAAAATAGTATTTATTCAGGAACATGAAGCTGTTATTGATGGAAGTTCATCTTTATAAAAAGTACGTAAGACGCGTTTTGAAAACAGTAAAATGTTGCCAGTCAATTAGTGAGCATAGTTTACTTCAACGACTTACGTTACGATTAAGCGACAACTCTGATTAAAAGTGGTCATAACATGGTTCAAATTTAGGTAAATATGTTATCTTGATAAAAAAGTATAGTTATCTTGATAAAAATATTGATATAAAAGTATTGATAAGTAAGGTACCGAATACTCAAAAAGGAGATAATATCCCAAAATTGCATTTCTGAAAGACAAATCTTAGTAGAATTACTTGAAATAAATATTTTTCCAATTATTGAAAATATAGAATTGTCCTGTATAATCATAATGGAGCTCATAGCTTACTCTTTCTCTCTCTCTCTCTCTTTCCTCCCCTTTTTCCTTTTTTTCTCATTTCCTCTCTCTCTCTTTCTTTCTCTCTCCTTCCCTTTTTCCTCTCTTTCTCTTTTCTTTTCTCTCTTTTTTCTCTCTCTCTTTCCTCCCTTTCTTTCTCTCTTTCTGTTTCCTTTCTCTTTCTCTTTTTTTTAGTTTCCGTCTTCTGAAGTAATGTCGCTCTGTTATCTATTATCTCTGTTATCTATTTCTCTTACGTTGCAACTGCGTTAGCGCATTTATAGCGTGTGCAAGTATGCGCGTATTTATTCAAAAGCTGACGAAAATGATTTTGACGCGAAAATGCTTGTCAATCTTCCGAGGCGGTGGTCGGCGCATTAATTGAACTCTCAAAGTGATTTTCAGACGTCTATCGTCCATTCTTCTGTCGACTGGCAAGTAATTTGTTGTTAACGATACAAGCGACAAGAAAAGGTTAGCAGTTGCTGATAATCGAAAGATCGCTTTGGAAGCGCGATTAATGTCGAGCATTGTTCTGTATATTAAACAAAGTGGGAAAATATTGCTTTTATCTTCTTCTTATTTCAATTGCGGGTGGACAAATTGAGTGATTTAAATCTCGCGGAATCATTATACCTTCTAAGCTTTATCACGCGTGGAATGTGTCGATGCTCTATCATTTTACGATTTTGGCTTTTATTATTGTTGTCACTACGACTTAACCAATTAATATAGCTAAAATGATTGTGGCTAGTTTTAGTTTTCTGATAGTCGCAATGATTTTACAGCTGTTATTAATACAGCTAAAATAGCTGTAGCTGCATTTCGACTTTTTTATTATCTAATATAGCGCTTTTACAGTTAAAAGTGCAACAAAATTGCATTTGCTGCCAAATAGGTGTAATTAAGGCTGGTAGGATGTTATACTAATATTTTTGCTGTAACAGCTAATATAACCAAACTGTGTTACTTGGGTTGTAGCTTGTGTTCGCGTAAGCGATGCATTAGTATTCGCCGTGTATAGACATACGACACGTACAGAACGGTGTTTCGTGCTCTTACCGTATGACGCCTTCATAGTTAAATCAGGATTTGCTCTTAGCTCCTGCAGACTCTAAGGTTAATAAAAGCTGACGTGGTTCCATTTAATTGTGTAAAGAAACTTGTTACACTCGACGGATTTGCGTCTCGATTGATTAAGGTTTGAGTCTTGGCTAGTTAAAGTTTGATTTAATTAACTAAGGTTTGAGCTTTAACTAAACTGGTAAAAATTATACTAACAAAATTAAGAAAATTAAAACTGTACAAATATAATTTAGAAGATTGTAAATGAAAAAAAAAACAGAAAGTTTCCAAGCCAAGTGTAAAGCCAACTTTATGTAATTAAAAAATAAAATTTCAATTAAGCATTTGCTTCATACGAGGGCAATAGAGAGATTAAAAATACAGAGGTAAAAATACGCATTGCTTTCTAGGTTGTAATACACATACACATTTGTTTTCAGTATAATTTATAATATCACTTCCGTCTCACATAATTTCCGTCTTAATTTACAATACAACTCGCTGAGTTTGAATTTCGATGTCGTGGGCGCGCGCGGAAAGACGCAACTCCCGCGCATTTATTCGCGACGGCTCTTTAGTGCGAAATTCCTCCTTAACTATTGCCGTCTAAAGAGAATTAAATTAAATTATGTTATAATCATATACCAATCAAATTACACAGGTGTTTGTCGATTCTCGTTTCCGCGGCCGCGTTGTTATTCGAAACACGTCGATTCCAGACTTGTGATTATCTGGATGCGCGTCCAAATACTTCCTAAATCTCTTAGAGTAAAATTCTTCTGAAAATTAGTGAAAATTTATTCGAAGTGATGGTGAAAATATTGCCACTTGGAATTTTACACGGAAAAAAGTTCTATTGTATCACACACACAATAGAATCGTCAACAGCGCTATAATTGAGATAAGTTTTCTTAATTCGATAGCAGTATTATTAAAATTAATACTCGAGTTATTAAAACAATGTATAATGTATTAGTTTTGATCATTGAATCGAAAAGATTTATTTTAATTATAGCGCTCTTGACCAATTTTATTGATACAATTTTTTGTTCTATTGATATAACTTTGTTCCAAAATTATTTATTGACCAACTCTTAATGCAATTTTTTCGTGCAAGAATGAATATTTTACTTCAGCTTAGAATGTGGACTCAGACTTCATACGAATAAATGTTTTAATCACAATAATCAATCACAATAACGAATTAGTAACAAATTGGAAAATTTAATCTGTATTAGCCACACTGAGAAAAAAATAATAAAATAAAAAATATCTAAAAATTAACAAATATTTATTAGATGAATACCATTAACATATTTATACTCAAAATTTTTTTCTTTTAAACCGAGTATTGTTTACTCGGTTTAAGTAAACAATACTCGATTTAAATGAAAAGAATCTTTATTTAAGTAAATAAGTTAATGGTATTCACCTAATAAATATTTGTTAATTTTTAATTATTTTTTATCAGTGTAGCTACTAGATTTTAATTCAGGCTAGCTAGTTACATTTTTACTTAGGACATATAATGAATTTGTATATTACAGATTTCGTAGTGAAATCTCACTTTTACCGGTAAAAATCAATAAAAAATAAGATGTGGCGTGAGAATGTTTTCACTGAAAATTCATAGATTATTAGTGAAATAACTTTACTGATAAAATCAGAATTTTTGCTGATTCATCTTAAAAGAGTACATTAATGTTGTAGTTCCTACTCAACAATGTAAGTGTAGTATAAGGTGCGTTGCATGTAACATCGCTGAGTGGGAAATCATAACATTGATATAATATTATTGTTACTGTTATTTGTTGTTTACTGGGATCAGACTCGCTCTTCAGTCTCAAGTGTAAATATTCACTCGATGATTCAGAATGAAGAATTCATTCTCTATGAATAAGAAATCGCTCGAATCCAAGTGACTTGGCCAATGGGGCTGCAGCCCCCCCTCCCCGAAATTAATTTTTTGGGTTACGTTAAGTGTGAGAAAAATTTTGTCGAATGACCTTTTGTTGCTCGTCAAAAATAAAAAAGTACAGCCCTCCCCCCCGAAACCTTTTTCTGGCTACGCCACTGGACTTGGCTGTCACTCTACTTTTCGAATTTGAGATTTCATTCTAAGAAATCTAGAGAGTACGTTCGAATTGAATTATAATAATGATGCAATGATGCAACAACAATCGCGCGGGTTCGCGGGCGTGCGCGTTATTTTTCTGGCGAGTTGATGCCTAATCGGATCACAGGTATTCGACAGCACCTGGGCAGGTGACGCGCCGCGCCGCCGTTGTCGTCGAGTATCGTCGTCGTGGTCGCACTGCCGGACTGTGCTAGCCTCGGTGCCGGACTGTGTCACGTCAAGGAACCACCGTGGACTCTCATGTGCCTATTGAGATTACCGCTTTGACTAAATCTAAGCAGACACAGCTTACACTGGTACGGTTTCTCACCGGAGTGAATTCGCAGGTGTTTGGTAAGCGTCGAGCTGTCGGAGAACGCCTTCTTGCAAAATCGACACCTGAAAGCAGTCAAGAGATATTAACAATTGATATACACAATGGAAAAGGGATATAATTAAATTTGTATATAAAGGAATAGTATATTTGTAATAGTATATTTGTATATAAAGGAATTATATAACTATATAATATAATATATTATATAATTATATAATTATATAAAAAAATACAAAAATACTTAAAAGAGAAAATATATATTATGAATTTATATTATCATATATTTTTACACATATTATTATATAATATATAATATTTATTACATTTTATTTTATTATAATTATTTTACAATATTATATTATTATGTTGGAAAAATACATTACCATTTGTAAGGCAAAATATATTAAAAGGATATAAAAAAATACAATTAAAACTAGATTAAATGTATAGTAAATGTAGAGTAAATGATACAGAAAAATATTAGGGGATTTAGGGTCGGTTTGTTAGTGGAAGATTGATTCATAAAATATCAATATTGATATTTAGGTAACTAAATTTTGACAGGAATAAGGTTATTAAGAGCCAATGTTGAATATTTTTTGCAATTTAGATTATTTAGATGTATTTAGATTAAATGTGTATAGAAAGAAATTGTAATATTATAAGTTCTCAAACAACTAATTGTTGTGACTGACTGTACAAACATGATAAAGCAGCCTTCTTTTATGATGTTAATGCACGCCACGATTCTGTTATCTGCATATTATATTAAAATTGTATTAACAATCAAGATACAAATATGCAGCAACGTGGCCATTTTGCCCTGGTATTGGGTTCAGTTGCCGAATAGCGCAGAGAATAAAAAGAGGAAAGCCACATATAAAATATGTATCCTGATTAGTACTACCGAGACTTTCCACAGTCCTTTTCCTTCATAGTTTCCTTCATAGGACAACATGGTACGTTGTTGCATGTTTGTATCTTGATTATTACAAAATAAAATATATGGATAACAGGATTATGGTGTGCATTATAAACACATCATAAAAGAAGGCTACATTTATCATGTTTGTACAGTCAGTCACAACAATTAGTTATCTGAGAAATTGTAACTTCAAAATTCTAAAATATGGGACATCTAGCCCTGATTTTCCCTACTTTAATATCGGAGAAGAAAGTGACAAAAGATTATCAAACAATACAATAGAGTGTTCCCAAAAGCCACTCATCATTTATATGTCGCGAACTCTCTCGAAAATTCCAGGTCTCTGTCGAATTATTTCACAAGCATGCTGGATTCGGTCACGTAATTCTTCTATGTTATTTATTAGTGAAGAATGCACTATGCTTTTCAAATATCCCTATAAAAAAAGTCTAAGAGATTTAAATCAGAGGATTGAAGGGGTCATGCAATTAGACCACCACGTCCAATCCATCTAGCATAGTACATTCTTCGCTAATAAATGACAGAAGAATTACGTGACCGAATCCAGCGTGCTTGTGAAATAATTCGACAGAGACCTGGAATTTTCGAAAGAGTTCGCGACTCTGTAAAAAGAAGATGCTAAGCATGTATGGAAATGGAAGGAGAACATGTGGAACACCTTCTGTAAAGCCAGTAAGTCATTCATGACGCTACATACAAAAATGTTTATATCTCAGAAAGCTTTCGATCTAACGTTCACTAAGGTTTTTTTACTCAGTATGGTGTATGTTATTTACCATAAAAATACTGAATGATTTTTTGGAAATATCCTGTAGATGGAATATGATAAGTCGATAAAATATGAACAATAAATGAATGAAAGAAAGAAAAATTAAAATATAGATAGAGAATAAAATAGGTTAGAATATAATAAGATTTCAGATGTTTATTGAAATATATGCGCAATTCACACTAGATTGTTAAAATATCCTTTTTTATAACAAGAGTTTTCTATGAGATCACGGAAGATATTTGCGTACCTGTACGGTCGTTCGCCCGAGTGCGTCCTCATATGCGTGGTGACCGAGCTGCTCTGCGAAAATCTCCGGTCGCACACCGGACACCGGAACGGCTTCTCACCGGAGTGCGTCCTCGCGTGCGCCGTCAGGTTCGCCGCCTGGCTGAACGCCTTTGAGCACGCGTGACACCTTCGAGGAGGAACACGCGCGATCGTCAATATTTAAAGTATTAAAAATTAGCAAAAATAAAGGGTTCTGATATTGCAGGATAACAAAATTGCAGCGTTAGAGTTAGTAATTAAAACTAACTAATGAGATTGCGTACTATTATTTTATTTCGTACATTAAAGACGTATAAAGAAAGATAAAGCTTGAATATTCAGCATTACTAAAAATATTTCGAATATTTTATAGAATTTTAAATTGATCATGTCTCACTCAAAGAAAAAGACATGGTGATGGTAACTATATACAGGGTGTCCTGCCACTACCGCATTATCTCCTAAGGACTCCTAAGGATTCCTAATTTGAAGAAAAAAATCCTAATGCAAAAATGTCGAGGCTATAATATTTTTCAAATTATACGATTAAAGTTGACCAATTATTTTAGCTAAAGTACGCGCGCTCAGGTACGGTACAACACACAATGGTACAAGTGCATACACATAAGTGAGAATTTGCATAAGATATGAAATTAGTTGTAAATCCCTGAAAGAAAGTGTGACAGCTTATTGATTCTCATAAATGTATTGTGTGATATTTTACTCATAACATTTTGACGAGATTGTTATTATTTCCGATACATTTATTTAAATGCAAGAAAAGGCAGATTATTATTACATATATTGTTGTATGTATAGAATTTATATACTATATATTTGCATAAGATATGAAATTAGTTATAAATCCCTAAAAGAAAGTGTGACAGCTGTCAAATGTATGACAGCTTACTGATTCTCATAAATGTATTGTGTGATATTTTTTTCATAATATTTTGACGAGATTATTATTATTTCCGATACGTTTATTTAAATGATAGAAAAGGCAGATTATTATTACATATATTGTTGTATGTATAGAACTTCCGTATCAATATTTGGAAAAGGAACGACATGTGCATGCACCTGTACCACTGTATGTTGTATCGTACCTGAGCGCGCGTACTTTAGCCAGTATAATTGGTCAACTTTAATCGTTTATAATTTGAAAAGTATTATAGCCTCGCCATTTTTGTATTAGGATTTTCTTATTCAAATCAGGAATCCGCCCTTAAGAGATAATGCGGTAGTGACGGGACACCCTGTAGATGATAACTATACGAGTTTTGTATGTAAAATTTGTGTATGTAGTTTATAATAAATTATGTTGTAGTTATTAAAGACTTAAATAATTAAAGATCTAATTGTATAATAACTACAAAATAGTTGATTAAAATACATACATCGCGATTCTGTATACAAACTTCGTATTGTTGTCACTTACATAATTTCCATTGTAATTATTTTCTTTGAGTGTACTATAACCATAGCAAAATCTTTTGTCAATCAAACGAATAGCGTATTTCATAGAGAAATGATTCTCTATGAGCTTTCTTTTTGTTATCCTTTCTCTCTTTGATATGCGCACGCGATCTTATAAAAATATTTTAGATATTTATACAGAAATGTCAATATGAAAAAGTCTGAAAAATAGTGAGAAATATTGTGAATCTTTTTTCTCAAATATTAACGTTGTTAGTATTTGAAATCTTTTGTCGGAACATTTACGAAACATGACATCCAATTCATATAAAATATTGGAAGAAAAAAATATTTAATGAAATTAAGATTTTTGTAGAAAAGTTCCACACACACACAAGTAACTTTTCCGTATATTCCACGAGAAATTCCAAATATATTATTCAGCAGAGTCGTATCACGCGACAAGAATGAATTCCTTCACCAACCTGAACGGCTTCTCGCCGGAGTGCGTGCGTAGGTGAGTCTTGAGGGTGCTGGGCCTGGCGTACGATTTGCCGCATATCCTGCAGAGATTCGGTCTGCCGTTGTCTTCGCCAGCACCGCCACCTATGGGGTTGATGCCTGCCGCGACCGCAGCCGCCGCTGGACCCGCGGTACCGACGCAGATCGTCGTGTGCTCACCACCGGCGAGCTGCAGCCGATGATGCGGCTGGGGGTGCGAATGGGGGTGGCCGCCGCCGGCGATCAGGCTATTGGCGGCGGCCGGCGCGACCGAATTCACCCTTGTCTGCGCTGCCGCCTCCACAGGATTGTACTGCGGGGCGGGACTCAAAAGCGGCTCCACGCCCCACGCTGACGAATAGCTCTGCTCGTATCTAGTCACATACGCACAAACATACACATTCACATACACGCATGTACAAGTAAAGATTTACACGACGCACACGTGTACTCGGAAGAATAGGGGTAGGATCGAATAACTGTACACTGGCGGTTGTTACAAGAGGGAGAGAACAAGATGGCCGCGAGCGTGAATATATGGAAGTGGTTGAAGAGGCTTGAGGGGATCGCAGATTACGGTGCCTGGAGTGGAAAATTGCAGACGGAGAAATTTTGGTGCTTTGGTAGAGCAAGGTGGATTGGTATTTTTCTTGTTGAGGCTCGCAATATTGTTTTCGGGAGGGATGTGATTGGGGTGAAATTGAATCGCGCGGAGAACACGAATCAAAACCGCCGATATCGGATCATCGAAAGATAAAGTTGAAGGAAAGGAAACTCATCATCTTAGTAGAAGTTGAACCTCAATGTCTAGCCACGAGATAATAAATTTGTGTTTGATATTACTATTAGCCAATAACATAACGTTCACTTCTTCTAGCGGCTAAATGAACAAGTTAGGTGATGGTAAAACAAACGAAATTACAGTTATAAAATAAAAAACCATAAGTAGTTGCTACTTTAATATTACTTTTTTGAAATTTTTATAAAATTAACGTAGTTTCGATTTGATTTGTTATCTAACTTTTTTTTTATATGTTAGTGATATAGTAGCTAGATTACATATTTTAAAATATACAGCATCATCTATTATATGTGATATATATTGGCTAGACAATAGCTTTAATGCAACTGAAGGTGCAGACGTTTTTTTGATCACAGTAACAAAGATATTATTTCTCGTCAGCGAATTGTTTTTCTGGTTCTCATTCAGTTACACGGAGAAAACACAATTCCATTCAGTGTAACTGAATTTCTATTATTTGGAGACCAAATGAAAAACTCGGTTTGTAGGAACGGGACGATCCCTGCAAGAGATTTCTACTGAGCCAATTGTTCAGTTATCTTAAACGAGTTTTCATGCATCTAAATGTTCAGACGAATGTTTTCAGTCACTGTAATTGAGATATTCTTTCTCCTCAGTGAGTTTTTCCTCTGACCCTTCAGTTACTCGCACTGAAATTTTTTCCGTGCAAGAGGAAATTTCGCTAAAAATAAGATTATATCTTTTGTGAGTGTAATATCAATAAATTTCCAACCAATGATCTACTTCATTAGAAAAGAAATACACTTTTACAGGGAATAGCATCTTGCAACTAGGTTTCATTTTAGGAGTCTCATCGGCTCAATGTTTTACGTGAATTCGGTGATTTTCGCGATAATGTAACTTTTTAACTATGGAAGTGTAGAACTTTCCACGTGAAACTTTTCACTTTTCACATTTTTGTTTCTATAGAAAAATGATTGTTACCCCGATATTGAAGACGTACATGATTGTCAGCCAGGTGTTGAACTTCGAGATTTTTAGTTTTTGAGACAACTTATATGCACGGCAAATAATCAAGGCAAAATTAAGGTCATCTTAAAATTGTCTCTCGCTTACCCGGAGTGCATGTTCATGTTCATCGTCATGTTCATGGAGACGTTGACGGACATGGCCGGCGCGGCGCCGTAGTGAGCTCCTACCGACGGCACCGAGCCGGGTCCTAAATTCTGCACATACTCCTGCGGCGAGTAGTGATGGCCAGCGGTGGTGGACGGGCCAGTGGAGTAATACCCCGCCGTGGGACTGCCAGGATGCACCACCGCGTGCTTGAGCGATAGCAGGACGTCGGCGACACCCTCGCCGTTCGGGCCGTTGCTCGCACCCCTCGGCATGCAGTCCCCGCGTGTGCAGCCCCAGCTGAAAGGAGTGCAGGAGGAAACGGTGATCGAGTCGCGCTCTTAATCGCACTTAATTGCGTGGCTGATCGAGAAAGCGAAAACAGATATGTCTCATGAACGAGGACGAGGATCTTCTACTCCATTTTAATCCGTTAAAGGTTATAATTATTTCACGAACATTTTTAATTAAGGGATTAGTCAGTTTGTTTCTCAGAGGTTTCAGATTAGGATTATTTAAAAATAATATCTGTTGTTTTCAACAAACTGAAGGCATAACACATAATTAAGGATTAGGGTTAGAGGAGGGGAAAAAATTAACGTAATTAGTGATCGTGAAACGTGAAAAGTACAGTTTTATGTGAATTTAGTGTTTTTCGCGATTATATAACTTTTCAAACTATGGAAGTGTAGAACTTTCCACGTGAAACTTTTCATTTTCGTTCCTACAGAAAAGTGATTGTCACGCAGATGTTGAAGACGTAAAAATAATCAAATGATTTTCTTTGATAATAAGTAGGATACTGGCTACTAATGAATTAATTAAATTCAACTGCAATTGCTTCGATTCGATTTCTCACATTCAAGAAAATACGATCTCATCCTTAAAGGAATCCTTTTATGTTATGGCCTTAAAGGGATGCCATATCTGAAAACTTTACCGAGAAAGTACTGATTTTGTTTTCTGTAAAGGTTACGACGTGTATTGGTTATATAGAATTGCAAATGTTTTTACATATTGAAAGTATGTGCAATAATGAATTGGAGTATACTCGATATATGACGGAAACGATAAAAAAATTTTGAAAGTGACATCTCGAACTGTTAATAAGAGTCAAAATATTTACATGAAAGTTCTGTTTTCTGTACGTACCGCACGTGTGTTTGCTGTGCTAACAAAAAGTTCGAGGAACATTTTTATATCTTTTCAACTAAATGTAGAGGCAAAAGTATACGAAAGATTTGCAAAAACATTTCTATACATGCATGGTTATGTTTTTTGTTGTTGAATGGTAAAACAAAACACACATTTATATAAGATTTATATATATGAGAAATACGAAAAGGATAGCATCATTCTATTAGTGACGATTGTCTCTATGTTATCGACATTTCTGGAGTTTGTCATCCACTTCAGCATGGCTCTTCAAGCCATATATAAAATAATTCCGCTAAGGATGAGACCATATATTTTTTGGTTGCAACAGTCCGTAATAGCGAATATATTAAATATACACGGAAAAAAAAGATATGTATAATTAAACATAATTCACTATATTAACTACTTTTTCTTTGTTGCAGGAACCAATTTCCTTGCTAGAATAACAAGAAAATCTGCTCCTGCAACAAGAAAAGTAGCTAGAGTAGTAAATTATGTTTAATTATCCATCTGTAGCAAATTTGCTGCATCAGACTATTTTTCTTGCTGTACGAGCAGATTTTCTTGTTATCATAGCAAATAAATAAGTTCCTGCAAAAAAGTAGCTAACGCAGCGAATTATGATTAACTGTCCGTATATAGCAAATTAGTTTGCTGCTGCAGCAAATTCTTTTTTTCCCGTGTAAGATCGACGAGAAACGAATACCGCTCTTCAAGTACATTTCAACTCGAAGCACCCTCCGACGGAAACGCACTCACTTGTACGTGCCCGAACATGGGCTGAAGAGGCCAGGGGGCAGCGGGTCGAGGTCGAGCGGGGGCAACGGAAAGCCCGCCATGTCGTCCACCCAGAAGCTCGCGCCGAACTCGCTCACTTGGCCCTGACTCGAGAGCTGCTGCTGATGCTGCTGCTCGATGTCATCCGGCGAGCCGTCCTGCAGATCCTGGAGGCGCAGCGTGCCCTGCAGAGCGCCGAGGGCCGCCGCCGCCGCCACCGCCGCCGCCGCCGCCGCCTCCTCGTTCTGCTGGCTACCGTCGGCAGTTAACGCGACTTCGTCGCCGGGTAGCACGCTCAGCGTCGTTGGACCGCCGCACAGCCCGGACGGGATCGTCGCCTCGATGGTACCCACCGAACCTGCGGAGTCCAACAGGAGAGTTAAGGTCGATTCCTCGAGCTGGAACGCGAGCTGGATCCCGGACGGAGTGTTCTCTTCGTGGCGCCGAGGCGCTCGGGATTGATGGCATTTCGAGGCGGACATTGCACTTGAATCTCGTCTTTTTGGTGTCACTCGCGTCTTAGCAATGTTTACACGGAGAAAACGTCCCGGAATTGAATATTGAATACGCGATATTTACGCAAGACCGTAGTCGCAAATTGATCATTTCTTTTTTTCGAGAAGAAAATAGTAAGTTGACCCATGAATCCCATAAACACTGAACAGTCCAAGTAGAAATTCATTTCATGGTCCTAATCAGGTTGATCTCAATCAATTATCTGATTTGTTATCAGATTTGGTTTATCAGATCATAACTATTAATAAGGTCCGAATTATTAAGGTCCTGATTTTTAATAAAGTCCTGATTATTACGCTGCGTTACACGAGTTATCAGAAATTGATAACATCACTTTAGACCAGATAATTGATTGGAATTAATTTGATTAGGATCATGGGCTATATTTTTAGTCGGGAGTATTACTATGAACAAAAGTTTCAAGTAGAAACATATTGATCAACAAAATATGTGCTCTATGGGAAAGTACTTCCGAGTCAACCTCCGATGAATGTGATAGATTACGTAAGAAAGTGGAAACAAAAGGAAGAGAGATGCCTTCGATGATGACTATAACTTGGAAATAAAATAAGACACAGTGTATTCTATAAAAAGTATGATAAATAATAAAAGCATGCTCTTCTCTCTGGTGAAGCGAACTGAAATGCTCGCAAAACTTTGGAAGCAGAGAAAAACGCGGCTCCACACACTCCCGGAAATAATATAGCAAAAAATACATACATCACTTAAAATATCTTAAGTCGATGACACGTGTGTAATATAAGATAATTGAAATCAATTAAGAAGAGACAAAGATGAACAATCACGCTGAGTACCGCGGAATCCAAAACGACCCGCGAAAAAGGTCCGTTCAATCGCGTCGTGTCGCTGATTTTTCACACCGTGCAGATACTACGCGCGATACTACGTTGTCCTCATCTCCGTGGGGTGGAAAAACCCCGAGGCTCTGTCTCTTCCTCCTGTTCCTACCCTCTCTCTATCTCTTTCTCTCCTTCGTTCTCGCTCTCTCACCTGTGCCGAGGGTGTACGGCGGCTCGGAGGTGTTGACCGCGTGATGATTCTGCAGAAACTCCATCTCTGCGAAATTCCCGACAACGGCCACCCCCGGATACACCCCTGTCCCCCGTGCACCCCTCTTCGCACAACCCTCGGCGGCGGCGGCCGGATCTCGGCCGCCTCTCCCTATGGAGAGACGCGCACCGCTGGTCCAGCCCTCCGCGCTCTGGTCGTCCTGGTAACCGCGCGGCTCGCAGCTTCACCGCTCCGAGCGGCTCGCCATCGATGCTCCTCTTCCGCGCGCTACGCAAGGTAGACGGAAAGTAAACGACAGATTAAGGAATGGTCTCATCGCTGCCAAGCGAGAATTCATTAGAGTCTTCCTCGTACGCATACACGTGCAACGAGACTATTATGTTAGTCGTCCGTAAGGAATCTACTGGGTGTTCTAATAATTCGCACCACACTGTTTGTACACTGAGGGAAAAATTATCTTAAAATCAACAAATATTTCTTTGACGGGTGCCATTAACATGTTTATTCAAATCTAAATTCTCTTTATTTAAACCAAATATTACTTAAATCAGGTTTACTTAAATTAGGTAAACAATATTTGATTTAAATAAAGAGAACTTAGATTTAAGAAAATATGTTAATGGCACCTATCAAAGAAATATTGATTTTAAGGTAATTTTTCCCTCAGTAATAAACGGGTAGAACGCAATGAATTAAACGAGAAAGTATTCTAACATTTTGCAATTTGCACAATATTTGTTGATTAATGAAATATTATCGGCCAATGAGTGTATGACGAGGCTATAGGCTGAGCTATGGACATGAATCAAGGAATGTGTTTATAATCTATTACGCGAATTATTAGACACTTTATGTATGTATAATAATAATAATAATAATAATATTGTAGATGTCGAGGCAATAGAGATAATAGTATTCTTCTGAAGTTGGCATAGACTTGGAAGTTTTCTCAACTTGAAAAATGTTTAAAGGTATCTCCTTTAATTTGTGTTAAACGTCAGGGAGCAGTGGGAATGATTGGGACCACCGAAATACTGCATCTGCCTTATTACACTTCTCATTTGCAGCATCCGCGATCCTAACTATATTGACACGGAAAAATGTATCGAAAGATATATGAACGAACAAATATATAAACTATAAATATATAAACTAACAAATTATATATATTTTATATATTCCTTCTATATATGTAGTGTATAATTAAAATATTCATAAAAAATACTCTTACTATCACATTTATTATAGTATAATATTTAATATATATGATAGATGATGAGTATATCATATATATGATGAATATATATATATATATATATATATATATATATATATATATATATATATATATATGATAGATATATGATAGATATATGATGAATATAATTATATAATTCATTTTCGCGTGCAATAGTTATTGAAAAATTACTTAAAAAATATCAGCGAATATAAGTATGAGATGAGACTGTAGAACAAGTTGTTTAAGGCTCAAGGGGCTATTTCTTGGGTTTGTTTACAATCCTCTGCGCAAATTATCCCCCAAAATTACGATGACGTTAGAAAATGATCGCATCATGATTATAAAGTGAGATTTTACAATCATTTTCTCGTTATTTTCATATCATTGTGATTTAAATACACACACATACGCACACATATATAAACTATATAATACAATACAGATATAAATTTATATGCAGCATATATTTTTAAATACATTTTTTTCTGAATGTGCACGTCTGTTTCTGGCGAACAGAATCGCGAAACGAAGTCGTACGAGTTGTACGATTTTAAAAGGGCACAATTCTGCGAGACCGAGAAAGAGTTCTCGGGAAATCGAAAAGGGAAATTATTTGAGAAACGTGCAAACTTCTCTCTCTCTCTCTCTCTCTCTCTTCCTTAGTTAAAGAAAGTAGCAGCTGAGTGCGATAAATTGCGTCATGCTATGTTACTCTCACAACAAAATATTTCCTTTCGTTCTGTGAGAGACTCACTCTCACGATATTACTACGTTTTTTTGCGCTATGATTTTCCCACTCTGTAGACGTAGAAGGCGTTGTCGCGTTGCACCGTCGCGCGGACGTAAAAAATCGGTCGTGCGGGCATGAAAAAGTCGGTCTCGCGACCGCGAAAATCGGCGGACATCGATGAATGACTTTTTTATGAATCACCGAAAGGAAAATGCACGTGCATACTCAGCTCAGCAGGCACGTATAGACGACGTACTTTTAAGGCTTGGAAGACCTGCCGGTCCTCGCTAGAGGCTTCTGCAGAAAACCTGCTGGATATTCCCATTCACAGAGCCGCGTCTCCATCTTCCCATATGATCCTTTCGCGGTATCCTTCGCGGCTGAGCGAGGCGAGCGAGCTTTATTCTCTACAGTCGCGAGATTTCCCTCGATGTCCTTCGATCACCACCGCGACAGGGAAGATCACTTTCGCGTTCGTACCGATGTAAAGTCCACGGAGCAGCAACTTCTTTGCGAGACACTACGGAGGAGACCACGCGCCTCCGAACGTCACAATTTGTTTACTCAACGGAACTTCTCCCTTTGCCCGAAGTGACTTCAACTATATGCACCGCTTCGACGTTCATCACGAAGTAACCGGGAATTTTTCACCAGGGAGAAAACAATGTTTTGAAGGTACATTTCCTAATTAATGTAAATTTAAATTCAAATCTAAATTTAATTTAATTTAAGTTTTAACTTACAAAACTTTAATTTGCTTCATCACGAAGTAACGGGAATCCTTCACAAGGGAAAGATCGAGGGAGAGAATGTTTCTAAAGATGTTCCCTTAATGAACGTAAATTTAAATCTAAATTTAAATCCAAATTTTTTAAATTTAGATTTACGAAATTTCTTAATCAAAACTTAAATAAAATTAATTTACATTAAACGTTGGAACGCTGGAAAACCGCCTAGAACCGTACGGCTATGAACATCCCTTCGTGAAATCCCCCCGTAAATGTGAATTCTTCGTCGCACTGTCTTTATCCCTCACAAACGGATTCCCTGGCTTTCCGAGGAAAACTCGAGCCGACACCGTCTTTATCAACAATGCTCCCTGCACATCGACATCGCACAAGAATTCACTTGAAACACCGGAACAACCACCATCTCGTTCTCCGACCGAATGAAGAAGCTCGAATCGTCCGCGAATTGTTTTGAATGGCGAGTTGCTTACACAAATTGTTGCTTGGGCGAAAGTCACAAGAAGACACCGGCGAAGTTCTCGCTCTTCAAGTACCACTCGGACTTCCGGTCAAACGAGGAGACCACTGTGCCCGCGGCAGAGACACTGACGCGCGTTGCTGCCATGCTGGCAGGATGGCATGTCAATGTCTCTTGGCTAACTACGGATCTACCACCTATCAGCCGCCCACTCTCTCACCCCTTAGTGGCTCACTGACTACGTATACCATCCGCGACCCCACTCCACTTCACGAGAGCCCTGCTCTATCCCTTTTTTCCCTCCCTCTTGCTCTCTCTGTCTCTCTCTCTCTCTCTCTCTCTCTCTCTCTCTCTCTCTCTCTCTCTCTCTTTTCCCCCGGCTCTATCTCTCCATCTCTCTCAGTCCTCCTGTCTTCGTCTTCTTTCCTCTCCGTCTTTCCCGCTTCCACCAACGCGTGCACCACATATCGTCGGGGTCTTATGTACTTGCGTAAAACGCAAACCACGCGCCAAGTGACAGCGCGATGTGACTTCGCATCTCTTTGCCTTTCTTTCGTTACCTCGTAAAAGAGGAAAATAAATCTCACTTCTCGTGAGAAGAGACACCGCGAATTTGAATGTTATATTGATGATTGAACGGAGAGGATACGCGCAGAGAGAACCATCGCTTGTGGAAGCGAATCGGTAATTACTTACGGTTTAACGAATGAATCGTAATTGATGCTAATTAATTAATTACAAGTCTCACGAATTGACTGATCGCGGTCTGATCGACCCGGCGCCGCCGCTGGATTGCTGGCCGATGAACACGATGTCGACGTCGACGACGACACGGGATACTAATCGCTCATTCGGCGATCGGCGATCTTCCCTCGCGCGCCATAACGATGACATATCCTGGCTCGCAAGACAACGGCCCGGAGAGAGAAGGGGGGTATTATATTTTCTCAAGATACCATTACCGCGCCGATCACGGTGGTCCTGCCTGGTGGACGTGTAGCATGCCCCTATCGATACCCCTCGAGATCACTGGCTTGTAATGCCTTCCTTTTCGTGGATTATTGACCAGTCAACGGTGAGCCCGGCTGCGAAAGTGTACGTTCTCGCCTTTCCGCAGGACTCGCGTCAACGACGACGGCGGCGCGAATATACTCCTGTGACATCAGCGTGATCGGTGTAACACTTTTTTCACCCCCTGTTTACTCTACAATTGAAATTTTCCAAGTCTCATTGTCTATATCTTCTTTCAAAAAAAGAATCCTTTATAATAAAACTCATTTATCACTTATATAGTTTAAAATTTAACAAAGTTTTGTTACTTTAGTATATTTATATATTTCAACAGAAAGGTTGCTTTTTGCAAATAGTAAATACTAACTTTCCTATTTCTTCTTCTTAAATAAGAAGTAGAGACCTAGCGCTTCACTACATTCAATCAGTTAAAAAGTTTGGTTCGATTTTTAGGTCAAAACTAATTTCAATAAAAATTGATTCAATTTTTATTTAGATTCGATCTTTAATTGAAGTTGATTTAAAATTTAAATCAATTTTGAATTGAATTTTGATTGATTAATTGAATCAATTTTAATTTAAAGATTAGAGCGTTCAAACTTTGGGATAAGCTCGATATTGAGATATAAAATGACAAAACTTCGTTAAATTTCAAGATGTCTAAATCAAACTTGATTTAGATCAACATTAATTTTATCTCGTTTTCAATGGGAGGAAATTGTTTACTAAGCAAGTGATTACGTATGATTCTTTGCCGTTCTTCAATATTCTGGCATCATCTTTTACCATAGAAGATTATAGATTTATCCTTGAAAAACCGTTTCCGATTTTCCAACCGGTTAAAAATTTCACAATATTTCATTGCACAAGTAA